ATGATAAAAGATTTGGGATTTGGTATTGTTTTCCATGAGTTCAGATATACAGTTGATGAATTTCCTTTGTATGATTCTGCTGAAGATGAAGCACCTTCAGAAAAGGTGAACAAGATTACTGCAGAAGAACCCCTTTCAGTAGTAACAGTGAGAAGAAGCGAGGTTAACAACAACAATAATGGTTTTGGATATAAACACAAGACCAATTTTTCAGGCGGTAACATTAAGCGTGGTGGTGGTATGGTGGTTTATGGGGAACTCTATAGAGAAATAATTACTTAAAACTTCGACTCAAACACCTCCAGATTTTATGTTGAAATGAACAAGAAGCAAATAATAAAAAAAATCCAAGTAATAATACTTGGTTGTGTTCAAAATCATGTGAATTCATAAGTAAGAAGCGCATAAGAAGTCGAATAAGAAGTAAATCAGAAGCAATGTTCAAACATCAATGCTCGGTGATGAATCAGAAGTAATCTGAGAACCAGAAGCTCCGATAGTTAAAGGGGTGAGATGCCCGACAATTGGCGCTCTAGTGATCGGTGCTCCGACGATGAATCAGAGGCGAGATGGCGAGATGGAGGAGCCGCTTGATGCTCGAATCACACGATGGAGAGAGAGACTAATGTAGGGTATCTGTTTGAATGAAAGCATATAGGCCCAATATGTTCAAATGAACGCGTATAGCCCAATCTTCTAAAGACATCGTGGAAAATTTTTAGAAATTGAAAACTGTGGAAAAGTGATAAAATGAGTTTTCTAATTTGCACACAATTTGGAAAAATGAAAATTTTCATTTTCATGGAAAATTTTGGAAAACTTGACGAACCAAACGCGTTTTGAAAATTTCCGTTTTCCTTAGAAAATTTTCCAGAAAAAGTGGAAAATTTTCCACAACTAAACGCAAGCGAGTTGGTGGAACACTCTTGGAACCACAATTCAACCAATTTTTGTTTGGCGATTACCAAATCACAAAATCTACTCCAAAGTAAACAAGTTCCACTCTTTGCTTGCAAAAGAGGTTCAAGTTCTTTTTTACTTAAAGTTGAACTATTATGTTGAATCGAATGATGTTGTAATCCATCCTATCCTTTTAATAATGAATGTAAAAGTAAAACTTGGACTGTATTACTAGCTAGATGCACATTTATTATGTTTTATTTAATTTTGTGTGCGATCACTTTATTGAAAATTGGGCGTTGCGAATGCTAGGGTTGGCGTTGGGGCTAATTTATTGGAAGATAAGTACATACTCATCCAATCGCATTGCGTCACTTGCATCGACAGTCTGACTAAAAGTCAAACTGATTTACCACAACAAATCCTACAACCCTTTATAAATACAAAATATTTTCTCCAAAGCTCTCAACTTTTCCCGATCTTCTCAACAAACAAGATAAATCTCCCATGTTCTATGATTAGTTCTCTTACAAATCCAATCTTCCAATCCCAAAAGATTCAAACACCAACCAAGGTTCGTCTTCACTGATTCAGTTCTCCTTCAATTTTACTCATTAGTTCTTGGTTATAGTCCCATGTTGAAAGATGAATCGAACCCTATTATGACACTCGTTCATTGTGAATTACTGCTTGGATTCCTTTTCAACCACACTTTATATCGAAATTTTAAGTGACAGTACATGAACCGGTGTTAATTTGAGGCTCCGATATATAAAAAGTGGTGTTTGTTTTGTTGTATTCCAGGTGTTCGATCAATTTACAAACTGTATAGAATGAGAAACCGGTCAAAAAACTCTCCGGCCACATCAAAGGAAACCAGTGATGGTTTGCCAGTAGACGAGACAAAGATTAAGAATGTAGTAGTGACTGCGAAGAGATCACCTTATGCAGTTCTCGCTTTGTTTATCTTAGTCATACACGGAATATGGGCAGTTCATCATTATCAATTCGAGAATTTACCGGAGCCGCTTTCCGCCGATCAGGTAGGGAAAAGAGGGTTTTCCGAGGAGTCGGCAATGAAGCACGTCAAAGCGTTGACTCAATTGGGCCCTCATCCTGTTGGTTCTGACGCTTTGGAGCTTGGTTTACAGGTACAATTACGAATTTACGATCGATTTTAACCAGTGAAATTACACGATTGTCTGCTAATTATTCCCCTTTCCGATTTCATTCTGAAGTATGTCTTAGAGGAAGCTGAGAAAATAAAGACGACAGCTCACTGGGAAGTCGACGTCGATGTTGATCTTTTTCACGCAAGCTCTGGTGCTAACATACTCGTCGGTGGACTTTTCAAGGGGAAAACACTTGTCTATTCAGATCTTAAACATGTTGTCTTAAGAATCTCGCCAAAATATACATCCGAAGAAGTAGATAGTGCGATTCTGGTCTCTTCCCACATAGACACCGTCTTCTCAGCGTAAGTTTCCTCCATTTATGATCCACCTCTAATTCTCTCTATCAACTTCAAAATGAAAATGGATTCTTAATGTTTATAAAGGGAAGGAGCTGGTGACTGTAGTTCCTGTGTAGCTGTTATGCTAGAGCTTGCTCGAGGAATCTCCCAATGGGCTCATGGTTTCAAGAACTCTGTTATTTTCTTGTTCAACACTGGGGAAGAAGAAGGCTTAAATGGAGCCCATAGCTTTATCACTCAGGTGTTTCTCTCTTACCCTTATTTTTAATCAATGTGTTTAAGTTATAACTTATAAAATCTTTACAGCATCCATGGAGTAGTAGCATACATATGGCTATAGACTTGGAAGCCATGGGGATCGGTGGAGCATCCGCTATTTTTCAGGTCTTGTTCAATAACATTTTTTAAAATTTTTCTAAATTCATTTGTCAATTGTCACTTAATTTGTTGCTCATTTTCACAGGCGGGTCCAAACCCATGGGCAATTGAGAACTATGCATTGGTAGCAAAATACCCCTCTGGTCAAATTCTTGCTCAGGTGATATTCCCTTTTTAAAAAAAATTATATATAATGTTAGTTTCTTTTTTATAAATTTATGATTTTTATATTCAATCTTTGTTTAGTGGTGCAGGATCTTTTTACATCAGGCGTCATAAAATCTGCTACTGATTTTCAAGTATACAAAGAGGTAGCTGGTCTTTCAGGTCTTGACTTTGCTTATGCAGACAATACAGCTGTATATCACACAAAGGTATTTTTATATTTCAGTATTTCAAATCATTATTATTATTATTATAAATAACTAACTAAAAAACCAATAATCTTTTGCAGAATGACAAGTTGAAACTTTTAAAACCAGGTTCCCTTCAACACCTTGGAGAAAACATGCTTGCTTTTCTTCTTCACACTGCTTCATCTTCTCAACTCACCAAAATGGCATCCAATGAGAAAAGTCAACATGATCCCGCCATATATTTTGACATTTTGGTACATTTAGTTCAACTTTTCTTAATCAATATTCAATAGTAATGATTAAATCTTTATATATTGAATTTTTGATGTGATGATTCAGGGAACATACATGGTTGTGTTTAAACAAAGTTTAGCAAACATGTTATACAACTCAGTGATAATGCAATCGATGATGATATGGTGTACATCAATTCTAATGGGTGGTTCAACATCAGCTGTTTCATTATCCTTATCGTTTTTTAGCATCCTGCTTATGTGGATTTTCTCTTTAAGTTTCTCAATTTTTGTTGCCTTCATTCTACCCTTGATATCATCATCTCCAGTTCCCTTTATTTCAAATCCATGGCTAGTTGGAGGTTTATTTGTATCCCCTGCTTTCCTCGGGGCTTTGACCGGTCAACATATTGGTTTTCTTATGTTACAGAAATATATATTCAAAATAATGGAGAATCGTTCTCTTTCTCTTTCTCTTGTGGTGAAACAAAATTGGGCCAAATTAGAAGCTGAAAGGTGGCTATATAAAAGTGGTTTGTTGCAATGGCTTGTTATTCTTGTTGTGGGGCATTATTTTAAAGTTGGATCTTCCTATTTTGCCCTTGTATGGCTTGTCTCCCCAGCTTTTGCTTGTAAGTGCATGAGTTTATTAATTATTTTTAAGTTATTGTGTGATTGATGTGAATTCTTGATTTTATTTATTTATTTATTTTAGATGGATTGCTTGAAGCGACATTATCCCCAAATAGAGCACCAAAGGCACTTAAAACAATAACATTGATTTTTGGATTATTTATACCATTTTTAATATCTGGTGGAATGTTTGTTAGATTGGGAGGAACAGTTGTTGGTATGGGTGTTCGTTTTGACAGGTTATTACTCCATGGGTATTTTTGTAATTTTTTTTTTTTTTTTTTTGTTTTTGAAAATGATTTTACATTTTATATGAATTCAGGAATCCTGGAGGGAATCCAGAGTGGTTGGGGAGTTTACTACTTGCTGTGTACATATCAGCTGTTGTATGCCTTTCATTGGTGTACCTCATTTCATACATACACATTTCAGGTTTTTTTATTTTTATTTAAATATTTATTTATAAAAATTGTTTTTTTTTTTTGTTTGGTTGTTTAATTGTTTATCCTTTTTAGGTGCAAAGAAATTCATTGCAATTGGAAGCTTCATTGTGTTTTGCCTTTCATTAACATCAGTTATATCTGGAATCATCCCACCATTCACTGAAGACATTTCAAGAGCAGTAAATGTAATTTTTTTTTTTTTTTTTTTGTGTCCATTTTGGTCATTTCACATTTTTCACTTTCTGGGTCCCACTTTTTTGGAGTTCAAATAAATAAAGATAGAAATCATTAATAAATTAATAGTAAACTGCAAAAACAGTCATGTGGTTCGATTTTGTTTTGTATGTGTCCAAAGCGGAATATATATTTTTTTATTTTTGGTCTTTGAGATTTCTTAAAATGACCATTTTGCCCTTGGACCTGTTATAATAGTATTTACACTCTGAACATTCTTGATTTTATATTAATCTATACTAAATTTTATAAATATTAAAATATCAATTATGCTTACTGTCCTTTTTATGTTTGGTCCAAGGGCAAAATGGTCATTTCAAAAAATCTAACAACCGACTAGTTACATAAGGACCAAAAATAAGAAAAGAATCCTTTTTAGACCTAAACAGATGAAAATTTCAAACCTTTTTTTGCAGTTTACTTATAAGTTAAAATCATAAGTTACACATTTAATCACTCATAGTAAAAAATGCATACTTTTGTTTTTCAGGTTGTTCATGTTGTGGACACATCAGCAAACAAAGAACCGAATTCTTATATTTCATTGTTTTCAACTACCCCTGGAAAGTTAACAAAGGAGATTGAACATATTGGTGAAGGGTTTGAATGCGGAAGAGAAAAAGTTATTGATTTTGTCACTTTCACTGCTTCATATAGTTGTTGGACTGAGGGCAATTCGGTAAATGGATGGAGTAAATCAGATATTCCAACATTAAATGTAGAAAATGATACTCCAACAACAGATGAAAGACTTACACAAGTTACAATCAATACTAAAGAGTCAACACGTTGGTCTCTTGCAATCAATACTAATAAAATAGAAGATTTTCGACTCAAAGGTACTACTACTACTGTCTTTAACTAAAATGACCTTTTTGCCCTTCCCCCTTTTTGACATTGTTCTTTCAGATGGTGAAAACGGGGAGGAACTGATACAGACTGGGACGAAAAGTAGTGCTGATGGATGGCATATAATTCAGTATTCTGGAGGGAAGAATGCTTCTAGAAGATTTGGTTTGACACTTTATTGGGGTAAAAATGGAACTCAGGTGGAAAATGATGAGGATGAGGTTTTGTTGAAATTAAGGACAGATGTTGATAGATTGACTCCAAAAGTCAAAAGGGTTCTTGAGAAGCTTCCTTCATGGTGCTCATTGTTTGGGAAGTCAACGTCTCCACATACCTTAGCTTTCATAAGTAGCCTACGTGTTAATTTCTGATTAACCATATACAAATTTAAACTTTGATATCGATTTCTAGGAAAGCTTTTTTGATTGTTGATAGGTAAGTTTATGATCAGAATCTTGTCAATTGAGTTATTATGTTTAGACTATAGTTTTGGATGTTCAACACGATTGTTTGATGTTCGATTGTTGTCTATGTAACTATGATACAAACTTGCCATATGGGAGAGGTTTATTTTTTAAAATAAGCAAAGGATCTATTGACAAAGTTTCTTGGTTTGCAAGTTTGAATAATAGTATTTATAGGGCGTTAGGGTTAGGGTTTTTGGTAGGCAAAGATTAATTTTGACAACCCTTTGAGACCAACTACTTGTTGAATTGTAGGCATTATTTTTTCTAGTTATATTTTAAATAAGAATTTAGTTTGGTTTGTATCCAATTGGTATTAGAGCGAGAGACATACTGGAAAATATATATACTTCATTTGGAAATTGTTTGTCAATTACTATTCATGACAAACATTGTTCATTGGTTTTATTGTACATTAAATATAAAATTCATTGATTTATTCTTCATCCAGATACTTTCACACCAACAACCATGACTAAGGTATCAAATTTGGAGTTGGAACTTAGTCAACATAAACATAAGATAGCAGTACATGAGCGGCTAGCAGTTATGGAAAAAGATTTGGCATCAATGAGGCTAGAATCGAATAGGAGGCACAAAAAATTAGTGGAATTGAATCAAAGAATGATGACTTTACTCCCTCGCTTGGTAAATAAGAGATAACTAACTAGGGATGAAAGTGAGTCCAAACCCGGACCGGAAGGACCCGGACCCGGAACCGGTTAATAGGATTATGAAGAACCGGAAACCGAACAAGTATGTAGGAACCGGTTCCGATTCGGTTTCAGGTATGGTACCGGGTAAAGTGGGTCTAGAATTGGAAAACCTGAAAACATCAAAGTGGGTAGGTTGGACCCGGATAAAGTGGGTTTAGAACCGGAAAAACCGGAATTTTTTGGTAATTACTTACTATTTAGTGGGTTGAACTTTGAAATTTTTTCATATTGATATCCAAAATTTGGGGTCTGTAACTCATTTAATATGAAACCAAAATTAACAAAATTATAGTCTAAAATCATGTCCAAACTCTAAATACACTATGCATGTGTTAAGATTTTCACATAATACAAAATACAAAAACAAATAGCTAAAAAGTTGAAAATTTTCAGTTTTGATATCCCGACTTCGAAGAACTGTAAATCATTAAATATTAAACCAAAAATGACAAAGTTATAGTCTAAACTCATGTACAAACTGTAAACTACAAGTTGGAAAAAACCACACGTCAATCCGACTTCAAACGAATTTGATATGCATGTTTCAAAACTTTTACCGAATACAAAAAAACTAAAAAACTAAAAACTTACAGCTTGGATATATCGATTTTGAGGGAATGTAAGTCAATGAATATAAAATTAAAAATGATACATTTATAGTCTAAAATCATGTACAAACTCTAAACTACATGTTGGAAAAAACCGTATGTCAATCGTTGAAATGAATGAGATATGCATCTTTTAAACATTTCACAAAAACCGGTTCCGAACCTAAAAGTGGTTTCGGTTCCAAACACAGGTTCCAGTTTTTAGACACGGTTTACCTGGACCCGATGGACCCAAACCCGGAATACCCGGAACCCGGATAAAGTCAATTTTTAAACCTAGAACCGGAAACGGTTTTATATATTCCGGTTCTAATGGTTCCAGTTCCGGTCCGATTCCTGTTCCGATCCGGTTTTCCGGTTCTAAATCTCATCCCTATCACTGACTATTAAACCAAAATCGACTATCGAAACACAACCGAAACTGGTTGAACAACCTACAATATGTCATCCAAGGCCACGATGTGAATACTTTAGATATGATGTAAAATTGCATAAAAGCTAAAAGGTTCACAAAGCTACTTGAAGTAGCTATTAGATTATAACTTTTTTTTTGGTTTAAAATAAAAGTTTAAGTTCGACTACCAAACAAAGATTTTTTTTTTTCAAAAGCTAAAAGTTCGTTGTTGAATATATCTAATGTCACTTTTTGGTAAAAGAGTAATGATATGAACTTTCTTTCTTATTAAATAATTTATTATTATAATTATTATTACTTAAACAAATACTTAGAAAGGTAATACAATAACCTTTTACGTTGTTGTGGGCTAGTGTTATTATTATTAAATACTTTATTCTTATTGTTTAATGTCTATCTTCTGTAAGAGTTAGTCGACCAATTTTTTTGGGTCCTACTAATTAGACCCCAGATTTTCTTAGAGGACCCCTCATTAATGACTTTTTAAGCATAAATTTTCGTGCATTTATAATATTAATAACTTTTATGATTACTAAAAGTTAACTTTTTTTGAAACTCTTATTTATCATTTAATTCCTATAAACTTTTTATTTATTATATATTTTATTTTTTTATAATCAAATAATAATACAAATGTCATTTTTTTTATATATTTTAATATTTTCTATATTTTAATATTTATATAAACCAATAAATAAAAATAAAATGATATTAAATATTTAAATGAAAACTAAGTATTATTATTATATCGTATTTGAAGTCACTTATTATTATGCTTTTATATAAAAATGATTTTAATAAATTGCACTAAAAACCGAAAATAAATTAAAATTTTTTTTGTTTAAAATATTTTATTTTGTATATTTGAAAAAAAATAAGTATATTTTTATTTTCATACTTATTTATAAAAATAATATTCTTTTTCTATAAACAAATCTTTATATTAAGCCATTTTATTATGTAATAATTAGTTTTATTTAAAATAAAATATAAAATAATCATGAGGGTCTAATATTATGTAATAATAATTAATAAAAAGATAATTATTTGGTAATGATTAGCTTATTTTAAGAAAAAAAGTTAAAGTAATTATTAAAGTAATTATTAAAGGGTCTTCTAAGAAAATAAAAAGGGTCCAAATAGCTGAATCCATTTTTTTTGGTTAGCAAGTTAGAATAAGAGTTAGGTCTGAGCTTCGCTTTGGAACATGACTGAACTAAAGCGGATGCGAAAACCAAGAGCCGACCTTATGGATATCGAGGAATCGAGAACTGAACCGAATTATATATTCCTTTTCCATATTGATTTCGATTTAATTCGTTGCCAACAAGTATTTTACCCGCTCCTAATAAATATTATTAAATAATAATATTTATAATGCATTAGGATTGGGGTTTTTGGTAAGCACAAATTAAGTTTGAAAACCTCAGGACCATCTATTTCTTAAATAATATTTATAGTGCATTAGTGCATTAGGATTATGGTTTTAAATAAGAGTTCTATCTCTTTGTATCAAACTCTTCATCATAAATGTTGTTGTACAATTTGTTTATTTATTTTTTTTTTGTTTTTTGTTTTTTTGTTTTTTTGTTTTTTTGTTTTTTTTTTTGACAAAACTTCAAAAATGGTTTCTATGATTTCCGAAAATATCAAGTTTAGTCCCTAAGTTTAAAAAACCTCACAGATGATCTATGTGGTTTCAAAACTTTTAACAAATGATCATTTTCGCTAACTCTGTTAGCTTTTGACCGTTAAGTGAAGGGCATTTCTGTCTTTTCACTATTATGAGGACTATTTTTGAAGTTTTGCCCTTATTTAAAAAAAGAAAAAAAATTATTATTTAATATTAAAGGTCTCTTTCTCTCTCTCTCTCTCTCTCTCTCTCTCTCTCTCCATTCCAAAAATTAAAAACCCACCGTTCCAATTCATGTCTGAGTTCATGTTCGTCATTTCAAAAAATCAACAACTAGTAATTAAGAATCATAGTTCTTCAAGAGAAGAAGTATAACCCAATTTATATCTTTGTGCAGTTATGATCAAGTTTGTTGTTTTGGGTTAGAGAAAAAAGGATCCCATTCATGAGCACCCACAATCTCCTCAGCTTATTCTTCTTCTAACAACGCATTATTCAAATTAAGTTCTTCAATAAAACCACCATTTCCACAGTCTAAAAGCTTCCCGGAGTTCAAATTTTTGCATGGATCGATTAAAAGACTTCGAAATGATTTCGGGTTACCTGGATGTGGAGCTCCGACTAAACAGAACAGCCATTTCCGGTCAAGTTTCATCATCCGGTTTTGCCAAGTGAAAACATCAGAATCTTTTGATGGATGAAAGTAAGTAGGGTATAGAATGGCAAAATCGTCTGAATTAAATGGAATTGATTCTATGAGAAGAACTTACATGATCCTGGAAGCTGGTAAGAATAAGAACTTGTTTCCCCAATCGGTGTAACGCCCGTAGATTAGAGCTAGTCAATTTAGAAACGATAAACATCAAAACCGACTTTTTGATAGAAGATTATTTAGAATGAATAATCTTAACTAAGTTTTAGTATATGTCACAAGGTTTCCGTGGATATAAATAACGTCGAAAACGGAGCTCGTATGCGAAAGTTATGAATTTTTGAAGATCGTGGCACGCATACCAAAGCTTATCCAAAGCGTACGCCCAACGTAACCAAAATTACACCCAGCGTAATCCCAGACCCAACAGCCTATAAATAGAAACCGATATCAACCATTTTCTTTCTTCTCTCTAAGTTTTTGCCTCGATTTGCGTGCCAATTATATCCCGAAGCCCCGGTATCATTCCCGAACCCCAAAGCAAGTTCCGAAGTCCTGAAGATCCCGAGAAGTGAGATTCCCGAGCCGAAGCCCTGCCCGTGAGGAGCCCGATTTTTGTGAAGATCTTCCAGATCTACCCAAGAATACTACTTCTACAAGTCGTAGTGTTGTCCGATCATCTTCTGATCAAGTGCGTGTATAATCACTTTCGTCTTACACAAAGATATGAAGTATTTTATAAAATACGTGTTATGTATATATATATATATATATATATATATATATATATATATATATATATACATAACACGTATTTTATAAAATACTTCATATCTTTGTGTAAGACGAAAGTGACTATACACGCACTTGAATATGAAGTATTCACTATGAAATACATGCTATGTGTTTATATACGGTTGTTTATTTAAGATAAGTATGGAATAGATGTTTTATATGGTTTTTAAATGAGTTAAACTGTATATGTATTTTATATCTACTAATATGTTGGGTAGAACATGGGTAGATGAGATAGTTAGTATATGATAAAATGATGAGGTGTGTAAGATGATTAAGAATGATATTGGCAGATGCACCGATTAGAGAATGTCGTAATACTAGCAGATGCGCTTAAGAATAATATTGGTAGATGCACCAAATAGAGAATGTCATAATACTAGCAGATGCGCTTATAGGATAATGTCGACAGATGTGCCTAAAAGAGAATGTCATTAACCTGGCAGTCGCGCCTCATAGTGTCTGATGTAATCCTGACAAAGGCGCTTAAAGGATGATGTTGGTA